AATGGGCAGTTAATTAATGATGAGAATTGGCAGCTAATTAATGCTGAGAACATTTGTAAGTTTTGGAGTTTTAAAAGTGTTTCCTTAAGGGAATGGCATTACACATATGTCTCCCGATACATTCTTTTAGGTCGTAATTTGAATTATCGAATATGTAGGAATACTTCACTTCATTAGCATAGTGATTATGTGTAGGAAATCTCCCCAAAATGTCCAGGTGGACTTAGGTGCTGCTGAAATACTGTTATGACTCAAATATAAAAGCTGATTTGGAGGATGTCTTTGTCTTCTAAAGGCTTTGCATGGGATTAAAACTTGACTTATTAATCAGAGGTGACATAGGTATTTGTTTAAAGTTTTGATTTTTGGATGAGTGGAAAGATTATCTCTTTAAATGTGACATGTTGGGATTTGAGATTGAGAATAAAATGAAAATCGAACAGAGATGGTGGGTTTTGCTGCACTGGATAGGTGGATCAGCCAAGCCATGGTGATGAGAATTTTTGCTCTAGATTTTTGTCTTTGGATGAGCAGAGACAGAAAGATTATCACTTTAAAATATTCCATGTTTGGTTTGAAGGTTGGGAAAATGAAAACCAAAATAAGAGAAGGTGGGTTCTTCTACACTGGCCTGATGAATCAGACGAAATTTCATTGCTTCATTTTGGTTTCATGTTATGGTTTGATTGAATATAACATGTTGCCCTCTGTCTCTCTCTATCTCTCTCTTTTTTTTAAAGCCTTTTTTGGATTTAGTACTGCCGTGTTCAAAGCCATTTTGTTCCCTGTGATCCCCAGTAGTGATTTTTTTAAGAACAGCTTTTTTCAGATATTAAGTTTGAAACTTATTACAGTGAACTTTTTTGTTTGTAGAACCATACTTTGTGTAATGTCGATGTTTAAGTGTGACAAAAGAAGAAAAAACAAACAAAAAAGACAAAGAATGGACAGAAAGGAATAACTGCATTACTGCTATGTCAGATATTTGTGTCTGCGTAATGTGAGAGGCTCTGTACTTGATCAGGTGATGTAGGTTATTTTATTTACTTCTGAAATGCCATTGACGCTGTTGTCTCAAATTTTATGTCTAATAAAGTTGTAATCTCAAGCTGATGAGACTCTCGCTTTCTCTTTGAGTTTTTTTTTTTCTTTTCCTGTTACTGTTTCAGTTTAGTCTTTTTTTTTTTTCGTTCGTACTTTCAACGGTTTATGGTAAGGTCTGACTTTTATTTTTCCTGGTTCTGATGGGATCAAAATGGCTTTGGATGGATTTTTTTTTTTTTAATGCTTTGGAGCACTGTTGATGCTTTTTTTTTGGTTCTTTTTGTTAAATTGCTTGTTTTAAAAGAATGGTCAGAAGGACAATCATGTGTGAGCATGCCGGGATATCCTGATCATCATGGCTGGAAATTCATCTAGAAAGTGCAGCATGGCTTTTGTGAGAGAAGTATAGAGGGTGGTTGGTTGGCGGGTGCTCTGGTGTGGTTTGCTCCTTCTTTCCTATCAAACATCTGTCATCCTTATCCCCCCTCCTTCTATTTTGTGTTTGTTACTCTCTGTTAACACCTCTCTTCGGCACTTATATTAACTCATTGTGTTGCAAGTGCCGTAAAACTCTTACTATAACAAAAACGAAGTATAGAGATATGGGGAAGTTGACCAGATTGTTACCTGCTGGGTTGCCATTAATGAACACACCTTTGGCCAACACTTGAGCAATCATGGCACCAAGCTGACCAGTATTTTTAGTTGGCCCTTCTGGAACATTTTCCTTCATCTGCTGAACTGTATAAGTGGGTGGGTGATTTGCAGGTCTTATGATGTGGTTTACTCCTTTTTTTCCCCTATCAAATACCTATCATCGTTGTCCCTCTCCTCTTTTTCTATTATGTGTATGTTGCTTTCAAGTAACACCTCAAATCTTCTGCACTTTTACTAAAACAAAACTGTAAATGGGCCAAGAGCTTTGTCTTTAAATCGATAGATTCTCTACCAATATATGCCTTTAGGCTTTAGGGCTCTCTACTACAACAAAAGACCAACAGACTGCTATATAGGCCTCTTGTCGAGATCGAGTTCTAGACAGCAGGTATAGTGCAACTTTCAGAGCACTTTTGAATAGATAAGGCAGACCCAGATGAGAGAGATTAGGGTTGGGAATAGAGTTTATATGTTTGAGGTCAGGTTTAACGGGTATTTGTTGGCAAGTGAAGATATCACTCGATGGAGCAAGCAGAAACAGATAAGTCACATTTTAGGAAAGAAGAGAAAATGGAAATTCAGAGATTGATGAAGTCTGTATCTCATAGTGAGTGAAGCATTACTATTTCCTTACATAGGACAGGACTTAGCTGGGTTATTTGTGGGACAGTGTGCAGAGAAGAAATTTCTGATTTTTAAAGAATGCAACAAGGGAAAAGACTCGTAGCTTATATCGACCTCCCGACATTGCTGAGAAGTGACCTGGAAGATAAAGTTGCTGACTTGTACTTACCTCCACGTGCACCTCATTCCACTCCACGTGTACCCTTCTGGACATCCAATGCAGGCCACGGTTGAGGTGGTATCAGTCTTGGGAGTTTTTCCTTGGTAGTGCAGGTATAAGAGCCAGGTGGATGATTGGCAGGTGCCTTGGCGTGGTTTGCTTCTTCTTTCCAACCAAACATCTGTCGTCCTTATATCTCCTTCTTTTCTTTGTACATTGTTCTTTAGTGATGCCTCTCATCTTTGACAAGAACTATAAAACTCGAGCAAATACTAAAACAAGGGCATGTACGATCAGGGGGCCAGGGCTGAAAAGGTTATCCCTGGACTGAACTGACCTGTGTGTCCAACAAAAATTGAGCTAGAGATGAGAGTGGAGGGACCGGACAGCAAACTGTGAGTCTTGTCACCTTTTGCTTTTGATGTAATGTCCGGGCGCAAGAGGTAAATGAAACCGTAAATAAAACTTACAAAAACTAAGAAATGAACCCAAGAAAAAGACGATGTGCATCCCTGTATCAAACAAACATTACTGCAGGACTATAAAGTGACTCTGTAGAAATGGGATGGAGCTGGATATAAAACATGCGAGGTCTTACTGTGGCCACTGAGTACTGTTGTTGATAGTGTTGGTGGCAAACTTCCACAAGTCTGAAATTCCTGAAAAATGTTTCCAACCCAGTGTCAACTCAAGGGGTTAAAGATGTATCATGCTTGTGGAGCCGTGGTTTTGGTTTAGAAGTCGAGGTAATGTTCTGGAAATAAAACTCACTAGAAAATTTTTTTCAATCACCAATTATGATCACTGGGAACAAAGTGGCTCTGAACAGGGTAGTGCTAAAACAAAGGCACCGAAAAGCTCGCTGGTCTCGCTATAAAAAGAAGTAAAGAGACAAGTCTGACTGCTGTTCCCCTATCCTGTAAAATCAAATTTCTTCTTTCAAATTGAAGCCAGAGATTCACAGCATGGTAAAGGTCACTTGGGATGTCTTAAGGGCTTGGAAAAGGAAAGGTGTGCTATTTTGTCAGACTGAGTAAGGTACTGGGTTACTTCATGGCAGCTCTGTTATTATAAAGACTAACCAAAAGTTGTGTGGCTCTGAGACTTTGTGGAATACCCATGGAATCAGTAACTGTTGTTACCCACTGGCAGGTACGTTCATATTCTTTTGACTTATGTGCATTGTTGACTTGATGTCTATAGAGTTGTAGGTTGTATGGTCCAAAATGAGATATTTATTTGCAGTTGATGATTCCCTGTGTGACTTTGTTTGTGTTGTCGGGGTGAAAAATGGGAAACTGTGCAAAGACAGAAGATAATAGATGACATACTTGTCCCTTGAAGGACATGCAAATCCATAGAGAGTAAACACCCCCTCCATCACCCCGTAAATTAATGTGTTAGATTTTCATGGACTGGTTATATAAGCTGAGGCCTCTATAAATTAATTGTCCAAGTCTTATGGTTTAGGAACTCTTAGTCATATCATCAGCGCACAAAGTTGAATGGATTATGAACGTTGTATCCCCCCCCCC